TGGCTCTATTCTAGGCACAGCTGGGGACACGGTCCTACAGATCATGGTCCCACAAACCTGAGCACACACAAATTTAGTACTAGCATGCCATGAAATGGCTCAGCCTGTCATCTGGATGTTGCAGAAGTTACCTACAAGGTTCCTTTGTGGTCAGGACAAACGAGCCAGTAGGGCAGCACCCTCCAAAGGCATGGTCACACATATGCAACTCCAATCTGCTTTCTGCTCACTAGTAACTTCTAGTGTGAACAGTTGTTTACTATATATTTGGATCAGCCGAAAAACAACTGTAAGTCAGCCCAATCTAAATTCCCTTCATTTATGACTAAATCTGGATTCAGACACTATCCTTCTGACAACCTAACATATAGCCTCTGTGTCCCCTGAGGCTTCTGCTCATCCTCACACCTGCATTCCTGCCCTGGTTTTGCCTTCAGGATATTTCTTGTTCAGAACTGCTTCCTGGATAAGCCATGTCAATGTTCAATCAGCTCGGGGGGCTGATGCAGCAGCCCTGTCAGCCACCTTTGCCCTACAGGGACTCCGGACTCCCTGAGCAGACAATGTGGGGAGAAGTGTCCCATGAGGGTGTAACTGAGAGCAGACTGGGGCCTTCTCCAGCATGAGGTGCCTTGCTGGACATGCTGCACCCATCTCAGTGACCAAGGGCGATCTGTGCCAGCCAGAATGAATCAAATCACCATATGTGTGGGCTTTTTTTTTCTTTTTTCATTCTATTTTTTTTTTAATGGATTCAGCTACCATATATCCAAAAAACCATGTAATTAGTTAGATATACTGGATATTAGTCAAATCAACTTTGTTATTCAGAGGAATGAATGCCAGCAAAACAATTCAGAAATAGTGGGTGTCGGTGGGTGGTAGCATTACACAGAGTCTTTCAAGTTCTCTTCCCCTGTGTGAGCGTTTTCATTCTTGGGTAGACATCATGTCTAACTGCTGTTGAGTGGCCACACAAGGTTTGGTTTTCCAGGCTCCCAGGTAGGGTGAACTGGCCAAAGGCTTGGGTTTTGGATGCAGAGGCAGAGCCTCTCCACTGAGCCAGCTCCTTTGGGCTGTGGATTTGAGGTTCTGGAAGTAGGGACTGTGCTGCTTGCTGTTTGCTACCCTCATTTTAGGACGTTACATTCAGCCTTCCACATCACTGATTATTTGTCTACACACAAGGCCCAAAGATTGTTCTATTGTGGATTCCAAAGAGGTACAATAGTGTCTTTCCTGGAGTACTTTATCCCAGTTTCACCTACAAGGACACCTGTGATATCTGCCTCCAAACGATTAAGACCAGCATATAGCAGAGGTTTTACAGAATATCCTCCTTTTCTTCCTGATTAGCCTGTCAACTTCACCTCACAGCCTATGCTAAGGTCAGGGAACACCTTGTGAGAGGAGCAATATAAGCCAGAAATTCTCACACATGTGCTAGTCTCTGTATTCCTTAAGACACAGAAGTTCTTCACAGCACATGCCACCAGCACTTGCTGGTGGATCTGTTTTTGATATTTGTCTGCAAGGCCCATAATAGTGGGGTATCTATATGCAAGTTATAACTTAATGAACTTTATTTATAGTATTTATATTTATAACAAAGCTTTATTTATGCAGCTCTCTAAAGTGGGGCAGTGAAGTAGCCTGGTGTCTTGTAATTCTGTTAATTAAAGTACTTGTGTTGGCTGGGTGGAGAGATGTGCAATACTGTTACTTGCAGATGATGAAAGAAGGCAGTCATCATTAGTGTGAATATCCTCTTCAGCTTCCATCAGAGATGGGCTTCTGTAGTTCCTCTGGAACAGAATTATTGTATTTCTCGTTGAAATGTTTTTTCTCTTTTGTTCAGCTGCATACATTCCCCATTACAAGTATTATAAACTGTTTGGTTATCTGTAAGGTGCCCAGACTTTTGCAAAGATTCATTCACAAATGAACCCTTGCTATTAGGTCAAGGAAGGTTTATTTTAGCACTTGCAGATCCTATAATATTAAGCTGTTAATGAATTGACCAACTTTTCATCATACTTAGCATGAGAGATGCTTCTCGTGGTCTCAACTCTGACTCCTGGAGAGACAGATTTCACAAGAGTCCTCTTGTAAGTTTTCTTGGGTCTATGCCATCGTAGGAGGGAGTGCATAAGAAGCAGCATCTGGCAGTGCATCTGCATCCAGTCCCTGATGATGTCCTGGGATCCATCTGCCTGGGCTCCCTCCTCCCTTCATATGGAGCTTGACATATCTGGTACCTCACTGCCAAACAACTTCAGCAAATACTTCTCGCTCCAAGGGACGCCGAGTCACTTTTTCAGCATCTTCATCTTTTGTTATCTCTGTGCTAACCTGATGCAAGAGTACACGGTGTTTTTTCACATAGCTCTAGGCTCTAGTCTCAGTTGCATTGCCTCTTCATCACCCTGTAACATCAATATAGCCCAGTCACTGCAGTGTGAATACAAGAGGTGAAGAGTCTCTTCAGCATTTATTTTCTTTGTTTTAAGTTGCCCTTCAGGAATTACCCACTTCATCACGGTATCAACTTGAAAATTTCCAAATATGGAAAGTAAAACTAGCTGACAAGGAAAAATGGCAAAACCTTTGCTTTTATTAGTCATAGACCTGAGGTTTCTAAGAATTTATCAGATTTCAGCATCAGTCTTTGAAGAAATTCATATATACAATAAGTAATTCCTGTTTTAATGCAACCAAAAGGGGGTAAATTATTGTTCTGTAACATTTCAGATGAGATGGTACATTTAACCAAACTGTATCAACTACAGACGAAGCGTCTTTTCTATTAATTATGAGCAGTTGCTGACTGTCTATAAGAAAAATCTGAAGCGTCGTCATGATTAACTCATGTTTTTAACTCATTTCAATGCCACATATCTTCATGTATAAGGGCAAAGACTGTCAAATGGCATTTATGGGAATACAGTAGGTTTTAAAGGGCTGTTCTTCATACTCAAAATCTGCATAGCACTCTTGGAAATTTTTTCTGACATATATTGCCCAACTTTAAATGAATTTGTGGCTTTGGTAATGATCTGAAGAAGCCCCTCTACTGTTTTATCTTTTCAGTACATTGTGTTATTATTCAAAAGGCAGAGAAACAGTGGCACAAAGGTAAGTAGTGCCTGAGAAGAGCAGATTGAGAATAGCTACAATTAATGAACTGACAAACACAGATATGATCATCTACCTTTTAAGAAGGAACAGTCACGAGCTCATTAGGGCAGCAAGAACCCGTGATACAGTTGTTAAAACAGCCCTTCTTTAAGTAGAAAACCACAGCACCTTAGCTGTCTTTCAAAATGAGAAGCTGAAGGAAGTCATCAAAAGACACAAAAGCACATAAGGACATAAAAACTCTCACCATGTGGGCCGGTGCGAAGGCTCCCTGAGGTAAGAAAGCTAAATAAAACCTTCCTGACTTCAGATTTTGCTGTCCTTCCCAAAGCAGAGTAGGTCTTTCTATATCATAAAGTAATACTTACATGAGATAACTTCAGCTTCTGCCCTGCAAGAGGAGGGCAGATGGAAGGTCATCCCCTCTTGCAAAAGGATAACGCCTATGGCTTCCTACCAATAACAGTAGGCAGCCCTACAGACACCAGGCAAAGGAAACAACTATGTAGAAACAATTTTCAAAAGGACAACAAAAAACAATTATTCTGGCACCTCCCTGAGAAGATAATAAATAAAATTAAAAAGCCTCAACATCTCAGCTTCTATTTATTTGTGGTAAGAAACCAGGCACCAGTGATGGTAGGAGACTCACCCTGTAGGTTAAGCTCTGCTCTGTTCTCTTTTGTAGCCTGTCCAAAGCAATGCAGGCACGCAGTCCTACTCTAAACACCAACAGCTCCCCTCTGAGTGAGGTGATGCTTTAGGACTGCAGAATCAGCAAAAGGGCTCCCCTGCCACTTCCCTCCCCATCTGTCCTCTCTGCTGTTCGTGTCACAGGAGAAAGTGTCTCCAGAGAAACGAAGATATTGCCAATATCTGTAAGAACATTTACATTTAACTCAACAACACACACACAGAGCTATTCTAGCTTGGTATAATGTGACTTTTTTACTTGAAAGTAGCAACCATTAGCCAGACCTATGCTTTGTATAACTAACCCAAACCCAGTTTATTCCTTAATTACATAAATGAATCATTGATTTACAGAGAAGCTGCTTTTTTTTTTTTTTTTTTTTTTTTCCCCCAAACATCTTTATCATTTTGCCACATGAAAAATAAAAAATTTGAGAGAGCTCTGATTTGACATCAGAATTCGGCTTTCTTCCACACTCTTCTCCAGCAATGCGATGAGTTGTAAGGCGGCTGTCTGCTGTAAGAATTGGCCATTTTAATTCTGTTCCTTCCACTCTCATTACCAGGTGGAATGTGATCAGTTGATCACCATGTTCCATACTCACCTCCTGTAGCTCTGCTTTCTAAGTTCTTACAATTTCTTTGTGACATGGCAAGCACTCAGAGATCTACATGCTGCTCAGTTATTTCACAGTTCATCAAAGTGAAGCTCTTCATATCATTCTTCTATTACTGACCTGAACAAACACCTTTTTGGGAGACTGAGATTTGAGAGAACTGAGGCTCTTCAGCCTGCAGAAAAGAAGGCTGCGAGGAGATCTGCTAGCGGCCTTTCAGTATCTGAAGGGGAGCTACAGGAAAGAAGGGGACAGACTCTTTAGCAGGGTTTATGGTGATAGAACAGGGGGAAATGGCTTCAAACTCAACGAGGGTAGATTTCAGTTAGATTTAAGGAAGAAGTCTTTTATGAAGGTGGTGAAGCACTGGAACAGGTTGCCCAGTGATGGGCAATGGTTGGACTGGATGATCTTATAGGTCTTTTCCAACCTTAGTGATTCTGTGATTCTGTGATTCTGTGATGTGGTTGATGCCCCCATCAAGGCAAGGCTGAATAAGGCCTGGGCAACCTGATCTAGCTGTGGCGTCCCTGTTCATTGCAGGGGAGTTGGAACTAGATAGCCTTTAGAGGTCCATTCCAATCTAAGGATTCTATCATTCCATGATTTTGGGCAAGACATGAACTGTGCTGCAGGGCTGCCAGCTTTTATCTGCTTTTCAGTGATTAAGAACAAGACAAAGGAATCAACTATTGTTTGATTGGTCATGTATTTATTTGTGGCTTTAGCACTCAAAACCAGTGTAAATTATGTAAGTTAGAAAAAAATATAGCAATGCAAAAAGTAGTCACGCAAAATGAGGCTTCCGCTTGAACTTTTCTTCACAATCACCGGATAGTTGATTTGTCCCAATATTTATAGTTCATCGTTAAAACTGCCAAAACTGGCAGCCACCAGGATTGTTGTCTCAATTAAGGACAGTAAACAGATTGTCCTTTTTTTTTTTTTTAATGAAAAGAAAATCTAAAATGTAATACTTCACAGTTTTACATGTTTATTCATTTAAACGAGCTAAAAAATAGCGGTGTGACATCTGCTTGAGAGACACTGGTACCTAACATTTTGGCTGTCTCCCCACCAATTTGGTTGTGATTAAGGGAGGGGGAAAGAAAAGCAGAGGATTCTATAACTTAAATGCAACCATAAACTACAAAAAAACCTATTTTCTGTTCCTGGAAAAGTGTAGAAATATATCTACAAAAGTTTGTAACACAGCAAAGAGGACAATGAGGAAAAGTGATGCAAAATGTTGGCATGGGCCCTTTCAGGGAAAAATACTTTAAGTATATAATCACAGAGCATCTTTGCCAGTTTATTCATCTCATGGATTAATTTCCCAAAGCGTGGGCATAATCCACTACAAAATCTTTTAAGAAGCAGTTCCAACATCACATTTCTGCTATCTTATTGATGTGCAATAGTGTTATTTTCTTAGTCATAAACATCACTAATTATTATGCTACTGTAATGTGATCAAGACCTGTAATAACCTGTTGGCACCCTAACTTGCATAGTCTGCATTTCAAGTTCAGTACTTTACAGAGAATTGTCCCAAATGCATTTGACCATCACCAGTTGGCTCAGTCATGCCTTTTATAGGCACAACTCCGTATCAAAGCAAAATGAATCATCAGTCTACTGGGAGCTGCTAGCAATATTTTCATCCCTGAATGGACAGCATTCACAACTTGGCCTTAAGTCAGCAGATAAACCTCTTCCCACGTAGCAATTTTCATGGAAATGGGATGGGTAGTTTTGTAGGACTTTCACTGTGCCTTCATTTGATTGGGTTTAAAAGCTGTTTTCCAACACTTGAACTTGTTAGTTCAACCATTCCAGACTACACCTAAATGAACACCTGAGTTTGTTCATGCTGTGTATCACTGCAGTTACGTATGTACATGTTGTCCCTGCTGCAGCTGGTCTGATGAATGGAAGGAGCTATGACAGATCCCAGATCATACGACATCTGTATGATACACAGCAGTGAACTTTAAATACAGTGCTATTCAACAACAGTTTAAATATAACTCTAGGGTCCATTAGGGAAATGCTTAACATGCTTCCTAAACTTCCAGTAAAATGTATTTATGGATTCTAGGAAATAGGAGTTAAAGCCTTTCCTTGGCAATTTTCACCAGTGGCACAAGTAAAATTAGTTTGAGGTTTCTGTCCTGAGAATGTCTGTGTCCTGGTTCTGCTTCTGTAGGATCAAAGGGAAAAGCAAAACTGCTGAGGAAATATTTACTGAGCAAAATCACTGCTTGAACACTGTAGTGCCTTCCTAGCTAGAGCCATTTCCAGATGGGACATCCACTCCTGTCCACTGCACGAGAGCCCTGCACAGGCATCTCCTGCACAGCCTCTGCCTCAAAGAAACTCCATGTACTCCACAAGCAGCCTGAATTCCACTCTGTCCCCTGAGGTGAATTTCCTTGAAAAAAACTACCCAGTCACACCAGAGCTCCTGTGTAAATGATTTCATCAGCAATCTGTCTATGAAACAACAGTATTTTTATAATAAAATCAATCCATCTGAAGTTGATGGTAGGTACACAGAACAACTTCATCTGCAGAAAAAGATCTGCTATATTGGTATTGGGTAGGATGCCAAGGAAAGCTCTCTTTTACTGTCTTTTAAGTATTCATAGGCGACACTTAGTTTTAATATGAGCTCAGGGGTTAGAAATGGTTAGAATAATCCAAATATTCTAAAACTGGTGAGTATCACTGCTCAGATTGGAACACTGTGCCACCTAGATTGCCTTAATGTCTTTCATAATTTATATATAATTCAGTGTGACACATCCAACATTAACAAGAGCACAAAGAGAGTAAAAATCCATTTATTATTAAAACAAGCACTAAGCAACTCATACAAAGATAGATGGCCCCAAAAAAATGAGGAGGCATATTTCAATCTGAGATATAAGCAAAGTAAAATAAACCATATATTTGCAAGACATACCGACAGGAATGGACACAACAGTGCTCTAGAAAACAGAAATAACTTCAGGCTGGATTATAATCCCCTTGGAGTAAATCAGATCCTGAACTTAGGATACTCATGAATGAGAAAGCTCACAATCTAACCTCAATTCTAATAGTGTTGTGTCTGTGCCTTTTAGAACACTAAGGATGAAGAATTTGATGAGAGGTAGGTTTTAGCTTTAAAAAAATATTGACATGGACCCATCAGAAATTATTGTACTGATAAGAGAATCATTGTATTTGCTGTAATATTTACCAGGTATTTCTATGTACACTGAGCAGAAATTTATCCAATTTATCTAAGCAACAGAAAAATTTCTCATTATATTTATCTTTCATGTAAATGAAAAGGTCTAACTGAAATGAAGCCAACAGACAAGCTGCAAACTATGGCACTTGCGGGCAGTGTGGATTGATACGCCACAAATCAGGAAAGCTGCTTCAGTCACACACATACGCACACTGGATTCTGTCTATGAGTCATAATTATGGGAAATTAGATCTTCTAAGAACAGCATGTTCATAAATTTGACAGTAGGAATAGCATGCTTTTTAATATGACTGATTCAGAAAGCAAGTTACAAGACAACCTGTGTGATGGTGATAACCACACATCATTCTCAGAACACATATCACCCAGGGAGCTACACACAAACATTAACATAGCAATCCTTCCAGTATTTTATGGAGCAGGAAAATTGCTCATGCAAAGTAAAAGGAGAGGTCTGTAGCTTCTGTGACATGTGGTGTGCCACTGGTGAAACAAACAGCATGTCACATCCAAGAAGACAGTTTGTGATGAGCTTTTCTCTCTACTGAAAAGCAGGCCATGTGTCAGAAAATGCTTCACCATAAATGCAACATGTCGGTAAGGTTTGGTCATCTATAGGAGCATTAGCAGACTATCAGGCACATGAATATCTATAACAGTCACAATTAGAAAATGAGAAATATTTGCATGCATGTATTTTTCTTTCATATTCTTTTTGGAAGATGGTGTACTCTATATTTCTAGAGGAGTTGTTTTGCACTGCATAAAGTGAATGAGGAGTATGACAGAGAAGACTCATAGCATATATGGTCATAGTTACTATATGGTTTAAGAACTAACTGTATTGAGCTAAGTTCCTTAAGTGATAATGGGACCGTGTCAATTTAAAATAAATATATTTTCCGTTATAGTAGTTGCTAGATTTTGGTATGCCCTTGTCACCAGAATCACTATATGGAATCTCAGTGAAGCATTTCCAGAACAAGTAAGTAAATGCCACAGTTGCAACTAAAACTGAAATGGGTACCTAAGATTAAGACAAGCTGGTTTGCTAATAAAACTTCAAAATTATGGCAACTCTCTGCCTAACTCCCTTACACATTCGGCAGCAATGGGTTCATGCTTTTCTTGGTTTCAAAAATAAAAGAAACTAGAGAAAAACTGACCACATTTTTGAAGGATCAAAAGAAATCCTTTACAACCATAAGCTCAGTAATGTGCCAAAGCTGCAGCAGAACAGGGTAAAGCCAGAATTTTACAGCTTCCTGCAGCTGCTTTGACATACTGACTTCCTCAAGTTGCTTGTGGTTATCAAAGGCATCAGAAATGATATCCACACTGCATATTCCAAAAGGTACTTTGCAAGAACTGAAGGATGACATGGAGCCAAGATTTTCCCACTTACAAGAAGTATACATGAAAGGATTCTTAATACTCACAATTTCATACATTAGTTTGATGATAAAATGATTTTATAACTGGAAATATATATATTTTTTACAATACCCTCCTAACAGGTAGAACAAGTTGATATCACAACCAGCAGGAAGATTATAATTAAAATACAACTTTGACTTTATATTGATAATAGAGCAATACACTAATTAAACCCAACATCGATTGAACTTTCTATTTACACTAGTTCAGACAGCACAGGAGGCAAAGAACTGTGTTTCAGAGGCATATGCGAATGTTAGAGCTTCTGTCATCCAGGTGCCATTTCTGACAGAACACATGTGTGCTGAACAGTTGGCAAAAGAATGAAAAAGATTACTGTAGATATATGGGCACACAGAATCTGGGATGACATAAAATTAAGTCCATATAGGAGGTGACAGACTGCTTCTAAAAAGATAATTTTTTCCTACAATTTCTTCCATCTTTGGGAGTACATTTGTGCATACACATTTAAAAGAAAGATAAAAAGGGAGAGAAAGAAAGAGGGGGGTTTGATATACTTTAACACAAATCAATAAAAGATTTTTTTTTTTGGTATGATATTTCCGCTTTCTTTTGGGAAAAGAAAAACAACTTAATTCAGCTATTAGGAAGCTTTGATTCCTAAATTTAGTCAAGGCAGATTCTTCTCCTTTGAAGTCAGCATCAATACCCAAGATAATAATAGCACCTGTCTTTTGACATCAAAGTTCTCTGCCTGAGAAAATATAATGTAAACAATAAACTTCCCATATTGTGCTGCAGCTCCTGGTTTTGGTGTTAACCAAATATGCTTGCAGGGCATGAGTGTTCTTCCTTTCTGGAGATCTGGAATGTAGAAGTAACGTACTGCAAAACTTATGAATTTGGACTGCAAGAAATGGCATTGTTTACTGTCTCCCAGTGAGGGACTGTGTGTTCCTACGTAGTCTTGTTCAAGCTGAAGAAATCTTGATGATAGATTCATTGCATCTGCTAGTTTTCATCTGGATCCAGATCAAGGTCAACTTCATTGGAAATGTTAAGATAAAAGAAAGCATAAAAAGCCAAGAGAAGTACCAATATAGCTGCAAGGACAAGGGCAACTTCCTGTAGAAGTAAGAGAAAAAAATGAAGACAGAAACTGTTAGAAACAGTATTATAATTAAAAAAAAAAACAAGTTTATACGTTATTTCCTTTCTACACTGCATAGCAAAGTAACATCAGACTTTGTATAATGATTTCTTCTTGATTACCATTTCAGAGTGTTATAAAATCCATTTTACTTAGTAAACATTTCTGCAAGTTTGATACACTGCCAGAAACATTTGGCCTAAAGATCTTTGGTCTGACCTAGAAATGGGAGCTTTATGTCCTTTTATTATTCCATCCCTTCCTTTTTAAAAGAAAACACGGAACTCATGAACCACAGTTTTGAACACAAATTTAAGTTATGAATTTACACTGTGAATTTTGATGTTTTCTAGCAATATGTTACTGCTTTTTGCCAACAAATTTGTAATTTTTTAATGAAGCAAACACAGTATGTTGGAAGTCAATGAAAATTGCTACCTCTACCTCCCAACCTCCTGGCATGCATCACAATATGGATCTACAAAATTCTTCAGAATTGGATGAAACTTTTCTTCCTTCCCCTCTGCAATAAGGCAAAAAGCACAACAATTTGCACTTGCATTTGCCTCTCTTCCCATAAAATATTACAACTTGCTGCATCTTCCTTAATTAATATAAAAACATCTTCCAAAGTATACATGATTTATAGCAGCTTTCAGAATCAGAGAAATGTTTTTGTACAAAACATCATACTCATTATGTGAATGCCTACCATCATATTCTAACTTAAGGCTGGACTCAGTTAAAACTTCAGCTTTACATCTCAGATACAACAAATCAGAGTGTGAACATCCTCTTTTTAACACTATTTCCAATGTCACAGTGTTTCACATTTTTAAGTTTTTATTTTCCAGTAAAGCACCACACACTCCTTGTAGTGTTGACTGTCATTTTGTTAGACAATAAAAGCAGTAATATAAATTTGGGAAAAAACTTTATGTTCCTTCAGGTGAGTTTGCCCACCTCCACAAACTATCCTCCTTCTTCAAAAAGAAGTAATAATCTTCCCTCAAAGTCTCAGCTTCATGCTAACCTACAAATAGTCTGCATAAGAACAACACACCCATATACTTAAAAGGAGAGGAGTAAAACAGTTCAATGTGTTTATAGCAAGTAACCTGAACTGGTACAGAAAATGGTGTGTCAACCTTACTCTTCAAGTGGGACTGAAAGGAGACAGCTGTAGTTCATCTACACTATCAAACAACCTTTTCAGTCACAGGAGAGCATCCGACCCTGTTCAGTGTAAGATTCCTTGTGTCCCAAACAAGATGTCAAAAAGAAGTCACACAAATACTCTCTAAAAATGCCTTAGACTATGAATGGAGCATAGATGATGGGTCTATACACAGGTCACGTGTAGAGATCTATACTACAGGATGGACCCCTTCAGGATCTCCCAGTTTGCGGTTGCTTTGTGACTGACTTTGCACATCTCCTGCCATGAAGGAGTTAAAAGTGTGTTAGTTTCACTTTTTAAAGTCTAGCCCATTATCTGGCATTCTTCTAGAGAACAGCATTTCATTTGCATTTACATAAATGCATTATATAGTTTATCAGAATGTTGGATCAATAATTCAACATATGCCATCTAATAAACTTTGAAATACTACTGCCTTGGTGTATGCTCTATGGGAATCTTTGCTCTATAGAAACTTTTGCTTTACATTTTATGTGGATGATTAATTGATGTGCACTTGGAATTTATTTTACATAAGAATTGTTCCTGTAAATTGGCTGAGGCTGTTTGCTGAAGATTTCAACAACATTTTCCTCTCAAAGTTATATCATCCTCTGAGCTTTCCTTTCCTGTTTTCAAATGATTTGATTAAAGAAAATGCATCTAATTCACTAAAATATTAAAGAAAGTGATTTTGCTTTGTTGCAGTTGCAACACGTCAGTATCTCACAAAAGGGCACGGCAGCATCAGACAGGTTTCATTTATTTCCTTGTATCCACAGCTGTGCTCCCAGACCCATCTGGTCACACAGCTACTAATCTTAAGAGGATGTAATAAACAAATGACATACAACTGCAAGCTCCATCTGCTCACCAGAGTGGACAACAAAACCGTGCAATGCAGGCACCGTTCACACTTGACACTGAGAGCAAATTCATTCTGGTATTAAAAAGTTTTTCCCTCCTTTGGATGCCACACTTGCTGTCCTTTCTGCTTTACAGTAAGTCCTTTGCCTCTCTCCCTTCTGTCCTCTTTCCCCTATGAAATTCTGCAGTAGCAGCAGCAAAATTCTGGGAACGTCTGCACTAAAGATTTGTATTCTGGGAAATGGAACAGGGACAATTTTGATTTTATTCTCAGTATCTCTTTGATGAGAGCAGCTCTTTAATTCCTCTCTGCCTAAGTTTTGCAGTGGATAACGCAAGCAAACATTACTTTCCTCACACAGGCATTAGGAAGGAGGTGCCTGGATCAGTATTTACTAACCCTGGGAATGACAGGCCTTATTGAAATTCCCAGTCTGTGAACTGTGCAAGCACCTTAATTCTGAGTTACTGAAGAAGGCTGAGAAACAAAAATCTACAATAAATAGTCCAACAAAGGATGCCTCGCTCTCAGACAGGGATATACAGTCTCTAAAGAATTGTATCCAGTTTACAAACTTTTAGAAACATAAATTTTGCAATGTAAGTAGCAAATGAGATGCTACACCACTGCACTGTATTTGCGACAACAGTACATATTGTCATTCTAATTTGTTTTATACTTATCAGGCTTTGCTATTTGTATTTTAAGCCATGCATAGAAATGAAATGTTAAAATACTCCCCGCTCAGCATATATAGTTCCCATTCTCTTGCACGTTATGGATCATCCCTATCACCGCTCTGCAAAATCCATTTACTCAGAGGATTTCAACATGAATAATTAACCAATACAGAAAAAAGTCCAATAGAAATAAACTTAAAATGATCACAGGGCTTTTTCTCCCTCTTTTTTTTTTCTCTCATAAGAATGTTAGGCAATAACATCCCTGCTCTCAAACTCCAAAATACAGTCAGACACCTGTAAAAGGAACACAATTTTCTACTACATTTTCTAATACTTTGAATATTTTCTGAGAACTCTACTGATTTCAGCTTAGGTAACTTCGTCAGAAACTTTTTCCATACAGGAAACACATGCCATTATGGGATACCATAGATTTAATTCTCCTATCATTTCTTGTCAGTTTTATGTCTCTAATGCCAAAATGCTCAGATAACGTCCTCAGATTTGTTTTGATAGAATAAGTTACAGAATTGGGATCTAAATGAGATTAAAGAGGGTATGAAAAAAATGAAGGACCAGATGAGGAAAAAAATATTGGCTATGGCAGTGCAAATCTGGACACTGTGTATGACAGTATCATACACCACAAGTAAAGAGTAGTGCCACACTCAGGAAATTTTGGATTTTTTACATCTTAACTTACATTTCATTGTCCTCCAAAGAGAAGTGTACCTTTTTTAATTGGCACCATCTTAAAACAAGGTGAAAGATTACCACAGATTTCTGTCTCTGAAATGTTTAACTATCCCAAGTAATTTCTGAAAAGGGATAAGAAGAAAAGCATTCGGACCAAGGATACTTATACAGAAGTAAAAAGATGGTACACGGACTTGAAAATAAATCTTGTTATACCACATATTATTTCTAAGTGAAAGGATTTATTTGGGCATTCACTGTAATTATTTTTTACAAGGTTAAAAGTAATAACTAACAATGATTGTTGACATCGATGATGTGGCAGCTTCAGAATCATAGAATGGCCTGGGTTGAAAAGGACCACAATGATCATCTAATTTCAGCCTCCCTGCTATGTGCAGGGTCGCCAACCACCAGACCATGCTGCCCAGAAAACCCAGGACCTACATCCTTAATGCAGGACATTCTACATCTAATACAAGGTAGCAAAAATTAACTTTTATCAGTAATTTTGATCATTAAAATTTTCAGATGGCACAACGATCATTATGGCCTCAAATAGTGAAGACAAGGTACTATTACAAAAAAGTCACCTAAAACATCTGGTTACGTGATCACAAAGCAGCAGGATTTTAACACAGCTAAACACAAGGCAATAGATAAAGTTATCGAAGATGTAGGCAGTACATATAGAGTGAAGGATTCCGCCTTGAAAACCTCTGACTCTAAAACGGTCTTATAATTTAAGGGATAACTACTCCTTCAGTGTGATCTCTAGATGTGGAAAGGGATTTCCAGTAGGTAGATGACTGGTATTTATTTTATTATAGAGAAGAATGAGAGGTAGCTTGGTTACAACATATAACTATATATTCCATATACCTGTATTTAAGTAAGATGCTTCACAGTGTGAGGCCTTTCTACCTTGTTTATAAGAACTCCTCAAGGTCCAGCTGAGGTTAGATAAGCTCGGTCTTGAAATAAAATACTGTTTTCTAGGAACACGAATGATCGAACATTTGAGTTGTCTCTTTGGGAGAATACTGGACTTCCATGGCTGTACATCTTTTATAATATTTCTCAACAAAATAAATTAGCATGAAATATATATTCTTTAGCTATTGGGAAGAATACTTCAACTTGGATGTGTGCTAAAGGAAATCCCTGCTGCTAGTCTTGGGAGCTGACTGCTTTCCACCTTCAGGGTCATGGGATGACTGGGATTGCTGACATGGTCAGTGCCTTATTTGCAGCTTCTGGAGTACTAGACTGTTCAAAATAATGATAGTTCATGCTCTTGTGCTTCAGACTTTTCTATACAGGATCAAGCAGTTTCCTTCTCTTCCAAGAAATTTAGACCTGACGAAGAGGATCCAGAGGAGGGCAATGAAGATGATCAGGGGGCTGGAGCACCTCAGTATTAAAAAGGGGATCATAAAAATGAGAGGAATCAACTTTTTACAGGCATAGACAGTGATAGGACAAGAGGGGATGGTTTTAAACTCAAGGAGGGAAGTTTTAGATTGGATGTCAGGGGGAAGTTCTTTA